CCCGCTAATTCCATTCCTGGGCGCTTAAAATTGATATTTTGAGCTCGCTGAGTTCAAAGAAATAACATTTCTATGCATTTGAGCTCTCCCAGGTCGAAAGTCTGATAGAAGTTTCATAGAACACTATTTTTGGAATTTTCAAACCGCAATAACTTTTGAATGGATCAAGCAATTTTCACGCGGTTGGCGGCATTCGACGCAGTTTTATCATCCTCATAAGTAATTTTGCAATTTTAATTGATCGAACCACAAATTTCGGAGTAATCCCGAATAAACACTTTTTCGGGTTTCTTTCGTTCACGATATCTCTCGAACGAATCAACCGCTTTTGACCAGCTTAGTGGCGATCAACGTGGTTTTTCAAGCTCAAAGGTGGATTAGTTTTTGAAGTTGATCGATAAAGAAACCACTTTAAAAAAAATATTTCTTATTTTTTTAAGATTTTTCAAAATTTCTCAAAATCTATCGGTCCGAATCGGTTCAAATTCACAGGAAATGTAATTTTGAGGGAAATATTTAGAACGCCGTTTAGTAGATTCCGATCGGTTTAAGGAAATGTAGGCATCACGCAGCTGCACGCATTTAACTTTATCGACGAATTTTTGTTATTTCGGCTTGCGGAAATCGTCAGATTATATATTTTTCATTATTCTTGAATTATTTCCTTCAAAATAAAAAAAAATTAGCTACGCTCGAGAATGTCGAGATGACGTTTTTTTTACAACTTTGTTGCCCTCCCCTTTTTTCCGTCACTCTCAAATTGTCAGATTAGTGGAATATACACTTTTTAGGATGTAATTAACTCACCCTACCTTAATCTGATGCGCTCGGGAATTTCTGATGGTCAATTTTTTTTTACTAATCTGATCCTGTCTCCTTCACAGGCGGCTTTATATATGGACCTCATGTTTTGTGGAGGTACTTAACCGAGTACAAGCTATCCCCCTGTATATTAATCTGCCGCGCTTTAGTAAATCCCGAAATCCCCTCTTGGGCTCCCCTACCTAATATTATTTCTACGGTTTACTAATAAAGTTTTCTTGACATGTTTGGATGACATTTGAAACATGTAAATCACCCGCATAATCTTTATTTGAAACGCGTTCAAGGTTTTTCAAGTAACAATAAATAATTCATTTGAATGGGACACATTCTTCCTTTACGTAAAGCTTAATTTTTCATTCAAACACAATGTTAGCGCATCACGCACTGCGACATCTAGGAGGAGAAATAAAATTTACAGTTCTTAGCATACTGCCAAATGAGCATACAACCGACAGCGAAATTACTGAGATGTATTTACTATCTTTGGTCTCCACGAAAGTACCACTATCCTCACAATCCACCAGAACTGGAGCCGACAAACTTAATCGGCGCTCCGACAGCTAATTAGTTAATTCATCTACATATAGTATAACATTCTTATTTAATACCTAGTCATGCACATAACAGTCAAATTTCACTGTCACCGCTATATGACAGGTTGATCTAAGGTAGGCCAGAAATAAAATGTATTGATATTTTGCAACTTCAACACGATGCCGTAGACATCTCGGTCTGAGCTGTAAACACCAATTAAGAATTTTTTTAATGGTACAAAAAGTTCTTGATTATAAAGAAATAGTCACGAAAATGTCTAGCCAAGGTTAAGGTCTCATCTAAACTTAGTACTAAATTGATCCCAATAAAATTTAATATGCACACAACTTGATCATAACACTTGATATTATTCAAACAAACCGATTACGTATCAAATAATGTTTTATAAACACGGAGAGATAAGGCTCAAGTGACTACAAATATTTATGATATGCCTGTTAATCTTTGTCGGTCGATTTTTATTCTTCAGCACAAATATTCTTACCTTAGGATGTCGCAAAGGCTTTGCTATGCAGTCATACATTACTTAAATATTTGCACACTAAAGTACCTTATTATTATAAGTCAAGAAATAATGAAACAAACTTGCTGATAATATGGTATTAAGTTATTAATAGTTAAAGGATACTTTGTATTATATACTCAGTTATGTGAAAATTATATAAAAATCTGGAGAGAAATGAATGAAAAGCAGAAATCTTTACCCAAAAGTATAGACTATACACTAAACAATAAAATAACAATAAGTATAGTATTGTCTTTGATTAACATAACTTTTATTCATTTAATAAAACACTATTTTGACCGGATTGAAGTTATCTATTATTATAAATTTACAACTACGGCGGTCACCGTGACCACGCACGCTGTAAAGCACGCGAAACGTCGGATAAATTTAAAATTATGTTAAATAGTTGTAAATTTATAATAATACATAACTTCAATCCGGTCAAAATAGTGTTTTATTAACAATAAGTAACCTAGACTTAGTGTGGAAATAGTAAGTAGTAAAAGTGGCTTTATTATTATTGTTATTTATGTGCAAATTAATAATGGTACATATTCAGATAGTTACATAAAGGTTGTATTATTATTATTACATAATGACTATCACAAATGACATAGTTCAAGACGACAGCCCATGCGTAGTGTGTCAGTTAAGTCATTATGAGAAGTATGGGCTTAATTGTAGGATTCCAACCGTATCTTCACTCGTCTTGATAAAGAGAATTCTTTGGATGACAATAAGCGTATAATATACTATTATTAACCAGAATTTTATCGATCCACTAACAGCAATTCATATTTAATAGTGACGGTTTTGAAAAATAACCATAGATTATCGAGTTATATTCGTTCTAGAGTATATTAAGAACATTGTGTCAATCTGTCATCAAATAAGGTTATCTGTATTTGACTGAATTAGGTTATATGGTTATCGGATGAATTGAAATTGAGCCACGTTTAAAAAAAAACCACATTTATTTTCAAATTATATCATGGCAATGTAAAACTTATGCCTTAATTTTAATTATGTCCATCGTAAGAATTATGATTCCAATTGAAATAACGTTCCTTGTACTGCTGATAATATCCTTTAGTTGTGTTTGTATTCGGCGATTTTTAAACGGAAATGATGTGAATTTAACAAGCAGATAATGGCCTTAGATTACTTGTTGAACCTCTATACGATTTTCCATCCACGAGATGTGAATGAAAGAGATAAATATTGTTTTCATTTTTTTAAATACCGCTATTATGGGTTATATTAATCGAACTTCAATATAGATTTGTGACAAAAGAATTGCCTTACTTTTGACGTTATTGCGTCAACGAGGTACGTCTAACAAAATAGTTTCATCCCTGCGTTCAACCTGTTGAACAATGAGGCCTAATATTTGCACACTAAGTGCACACTAGTGTATTTAATATAAGTCTTATCGAAATTATATTCATTTTACAATTTTGTTATCGCTATAAGAGTAATAAAAAGAGGCTACACCGGAGGTATTTGACCTGGATCTGATATCGGATAGGATCAAGTTGGTGAATGGTACATTATGTTCAATGTCTCATTGTATCTCGAATGAAGGATCGTTATGGTATGAGAGTGAATTGTGATTGTAAGAGTTTCGATAAATGATGAATAAGAAATCGATTGGGAACACATTAATAGATATGATGGGAGAGTATTTAGATCATAAGTTTTGACAACAATTATAAATAATTTATTGTTCGTATTATTATTAGGACATTATGATGATTAAAATGACATTGCATGCGTATTTTTATATAGCTGATTGTGTGGTTTATTTATAATTAATCGATCTGTATGATACATTCAGATAATAATAAATCGTCTACTTTCTTTCCAAATAGACGATTTATTATTATTGCTAATTTGGATCAATTGTTCGCATCTGTTTAAACAGAAAAAAAAACAATTAATAGCTTCGGAAAAAAATATTCATACAAAATTACTTAAATTACACGGGAGTTATACATCTACCTTGTTTATAGTGGTATAGGATGAGGAGTATTTAAAAAGCCTTGGAATAAATTAAATTGAATCACAATACGGATACAATGTTGAATCACATTGCATATAATAATAAGATATTAATTGCTTTGTTCTGCGTGTTAGCTTCCGTATTTGAAATAAATTGTGTAACCGGATATTTTATTGTACTAAATTTGATACTACAAAAAATATTATAAAGTATCCACTTTTTCGTAAAACCACAACCAAACGCTCCGCTGTTCGATTATTTATTTTTATTGTTTTACATTCTTATATAGATAATGGTATTCATAGATAATGGTTAATGGTGGACTCAGTTTCCGCACTTCGACTCTCATTAGGTCCGTTGTGCGCTTGTGTTGTCTCCTCCTGTCGTCCACTTCGTAGTCTTCATGGAGCGATCTCACTGCTCCGAGGATTTCTGTACCTTGGTACGCCACAGCCACGCATTCCAGGACTATGCGTGACTGATTCCTCTGCGCTGAAACAGCCGTCTCTCTAGGACAAAAATATGTTTATTAAGGAGACAGTGGCCCGTAGTGATAGTCCCTATCATTGTTTTGAGATTAGTTCTGTTAAGGCTTAGAAGTCGCTTTGTCATTAGTGGGCAACTGCTGGTAGAGCCATTTTGGACTGTCTGCAGTCCGCGTTTCGCGATCATTGGTTATGTTGGAGTTCTGAAGGTCTTTGGCGTAGGTTCGCACTTGTGAGAAGGGCAACGGAAGGAGCGGATACGGGCCAGCCGGCATCATTCCGGAGCCTCTACTCGCAAGCTTGTCGGCAGCATCATTGGCGAGAGATCCACTGTTGGGTAACGCTGTTTGTCAGATCAGGTCAAGACTAACATAGATATTAAAAAAGATAATGAGTCCTCTCCTACGTAACCACTTTTAACCTTCCATTAGGGATTGTTTGAACCCAATTTTGTTCGCGTTCTTTTAATTACCGCTGTTGTTCGATCCTGTCAAACGATCGCATATATCAAACCTCAAGATGGATGTTTTATTTCTGCGATAACAATTGGAAGTTACAGAGTGATGATGCTTTTTTTACGTCGGCAGTTATAAATATTTTCTTATAAATATATATTATATTACAGAGGCACAAACTGTATGCGTTCCGGTACTGGGGATGCGAGCTCCTCTGCCTGGTGAACATCATCTTGCAACTGTGGATGATGGATAGCTTCTTTAATGGAGAGTTCCTTTCATATGGTACCAGAGTTCTGGGGTATAGTGACGTGCCGCAGGAAGAAAGGTAAGGTTAAAACCAATGGGTACATTTACCAATCTATTATTCGATCTGTTCCATCATAAATGTTGGTATTTATTTCCCTGGAAACGAACTTATATAGGTACAATTTTGAGGATTTGGCTCTTTTTGGAGTATCTTTAGTGGGTAAATTAATAAAATATGCTTGTGTATATACGAGTATGATTTGCATTCGCATATACTTTCTTGTTCAAGAATCTAATTTTGAACTAACCTAGACGCTGTGATCGGTCTGTAAATTTCCGAAGTAGGATTGGAATGAAGTAGTTGCGTACCGGCACTGATAATTTCTTGTCCAATGATTTTACCTACAAAAGTAGTTCTCTGTAGTTTTTAAATAAAAACACTTATCCCTGCAACCGAATGTGAAATTCTTATATTCTTGGAACTATTCGTATTGCGTATAAAAAGGTAACGGGGCGAGCACAACTCTGCTTCATTGATGATTATTTACAGGTCAATCCTAACATTTTCCCGGAAAATGTTAGTATCCTTAACATTTTCATTCGCCATTTCTGTAGGTATGTAATAATTGGGCAAATTTAAACAAAAATCCATTGGTGCAGCCAGGGTAACCCTACTCTTTTCCTTTTTAATATCCGAGGTGGATCTGCGCATCCCCTGCCCCCAGCAGGGGTATGTGGGACTCGACCCACATCAGAATCTCTACTATTCGGAGACGGTGAGCAATACCCACAAAAACTACTTCGAGTAGTTCCTACACGGCCGCGTAGAGAGGCTCCGGTCGCTCTCTCTACCGAGGCAAAGGAATGTTGCCAACCACTTGCAACTGGCATCCTAGGCCTAGGACGTATTATATATACTAAACTTCACAGCCTCGTTTGTCAGGTTTGATGCCCTCTGCATGCCTTAGAAATTCGACCATGCACGCCATGTACGGTAAAAGCGCTCGCTGGTACTGTACCCTATAGTGTACCTATGCTGTACCCAAAGAGAGAGAACAAATTTAAATTTATAGAATAAAACTTGCGCTCTGACCTGATTCCCTACGCCCAGAATAACGATACCCTAAAAGGCACATTGATGACATTCTCAATTAATATTTTTTTACGATTTTTTTCAGATACGATCCGATGATATACGTGTTCCCTCGCGTAACAAAATGTACATTTCACAAGTATGGTGCGTCAGGCTCCATACAAACCCATGACAGCCTCTGCATACTACCGCTGAACATAGTGAATGAGAAGACCTACATATTTCTGTGGTTCTGGTATATTATACTCGCGGTGATATTGACTCTACTTGTAATATACAGGTAGGTTTTTTGGACAAAATTTTTTCATACTAAAATTGTTCGTAAAACGCTTTCCCCATATTGTGTTAAAAGTACCCTTTTTTTAAATCACAACCAAACGAAGTGCAGCTATTGTTGTGTTCGACTTTTCGTCCTCACTGCTGGAATTAGTTAATCAATCAAAAGGGCGTCGCTAAGGGATGCGTCGGGACTGTAACCCAAAATATCGATTCCGACTTCAATGGATATTAAATGAATTATCGCAATTGCGTATTAAATAATTTTTAATAAAAGATCCTATTTTTTGTGTTTTTAAATTATTCAAATCAAATCAAAATCATTTATTCATAAAGATAACACAATGTACACTTATGAACGTCAAAACAAGAAATACATATTAAATGCTTCTAATTTTTACCATTTTAACATTTACTGCCAGTTCTCAAATCAAGGGCGTATAACGGAAGAGAAGAACTGGCAATAAACTCTCCGCCACTCTTTTTAATCGCCAAGTTTTTTGTTTTACACAATGTTTGTAACGAGCTGCAACCATTACACCATGTTCCACATGACATCTTAAGTAATTAATAGTGAAAAATAAATAAAAAACAAAGATTTAATATCTTTATCGCGAAACAGATTTTACGCTTCACTGTCTGTATTTTTTTGTATCATCCTCCATACTATCAAATTGTCTTTTAGTCCAAAGACTGGAACGCTCTGTATCAGGAATGTTTGTTTGTGTTTAATTGCTTTATTGACCACAAATGTTTGAAATTATTTTTCAGGCTCGTAATACTTTTCCTGCCATCAATACGACCGCGCCTATTACACGCACGCGCTCGTACGATTCCGATGGAATCAGCGGTTTTCATATCACGAAGGACCGATGTTGGCGATTGGTGGCTGCTTTATATGTTGGCCAGGAATATGGATCCGTTGATATACAGGTACGAATTCCGCAGGACACAGCCTTGGGCGCAATTGCTTTGTGTAGCTATGAATTGATTTTTGGAATAACTTTAAGAGACAATGTATGGAACGAACAATACCATAATTTAAAAAAAATTATTGAACTTGCAACTTATGGAAGGTACCTCGAAGCGCTAAGTGAAAATCCCTCATGGATACTTGATTTTAAACTTAGTTTTTGGCTCTCTCAAATGAACCCCCGTTTTCTTTATACACAAATAAATCAAATCGAAAGAATTATTACCGCTAAAAAGTTTTCGTTATCTTTCCAGGGAACTGATAGCTGAGCTTGTAAAACGTATGGGAGAGAAGAGTGGACCGCGAGCGTGACGCCCGCCGCAAACAATAGCCGTGCTCAGTGTATGACATCGTGATAAGCCTTATATATAGTTTATTGGAGCTTTGGGGCTTCATTTGGCCTCTTTCGGCCATTCATAACTTGGCCAAACCCGGCCTAACTTGATTTCGACAACACCATTCAGCCTTTATTTGGCAATGATAAAGTTAAGGGCTCAGGTTTAGCCCTACTTGACATGGCTAAATCTATTCGAACCCAACTTGCCATCACTTGGTCAATTCAAAAAGGCTGTTTTTACAGTACTTGACTTGGCGTAGATTATTACTTTTTTAATTTTATAAATCCAAACTTATTAAATCAAAGTCACAGCTTTATAAAAAGTTTATATGTGATAAACGTATACGTTCTCAATCGTATATAACGAATACGGATGACTCAGTTTGCTGCTCAAATTATCTTAACTCTAAAATCAATACGTTCATAGCAATTGTTGCTTTTTGAAGCTTTTTGATTGGTTGATTTGATTTTTTAAATAAACTAGACAGTTAAGCACGGAGAATATTAATTTATGTGATTTTTTTAAATGTAGACTGTTTTTCAAGCATCAAAAGCTATTCAAACAATGAATTACATATGGTTGAGAAGAAGTTTTTGTCCATTCTCATGTAGTTAGTTTTCTATTTGCTCAATATTTTCTAAATGCTGAAGAAACATCGTAAGGGAATCTATGTGTTATAATATCTTAAACCAACCCCAACTTGCTTATTAAGATCAATAACAGTTGTAGAAATATCAAGCCAATAATTTAACGGGTTGTAACTCCACTAAAAAAATGGTTGCCTGTAAAGTCGGTTTACGGACGATAGTTGCGTCATAACAAAACATTGATGAAATGATTGCATACTTAAGTTTTCGAGTGGAAGACAGTTTCGACGCAAGCGTACAATGAGCGTAAAGTGACAATGAGCGTAACGGGACAATGAGTCATGCTTTTTCGTGCGTACAGCCGGCGTTCATTGATTTATTAGACATTGTCACGTTAAAAAATACTTATTATAAATCTATTTTTGATCTATTAATTTCTACGCCAAGTTCGGTTTCAACATTCGTGACGTATTCGAATTTATTTGTGCTCAAATATGATTGTATAGCATCAATCACCGATGACTATATAAAAACCAATCGTAATGTCAACGAGTCGTAAATTTATAGAGCGAAATGAAAGCTTATTTTTATGTTACGATTTACGTGTCGTTGTTATTACGGATGGTTATTTTTAAGATTGCTCCTGAAACTAGGTGAAAAATTGGTTCATCAAGTTTAAGATCTTGCTTTCGAAATCTCACAATTTATGTCTAAAATAGCTATCTAACGGTCTTAGTTCTCAAAGTTAAAATTCCGTTATGTCGCTGGATTTTGGCTATGTAATCTCAATTTCCATGACTGTTTAAGACTTAAAGTAAAACCCGTTTAAATATCAAAAAAATGCCAAAGCTCAAATGTTACTAATCTATCTATGAAAGGGTATTTGAAACCCGGATTGAATTTATACTTCGGCGCTTTAGGGAAAAATCGCACACCGTTACAAAAAACCGACTCCCTGAATATCTGTTCAAAGTCGGTAAAACAGTCTCGGCCGCTAGTTGTCGCTTGCTCTGTTTTATCGACGAGTTGCATTGTCTGTCATGGTGTAGAGTTATTCAGAGTCGTGTTTATTTTAACCAAAATAATGATTTCTGATACGAGAAAACCCGTTCCAATGTGATAAAAACATAGTGTTTATTGTAAAATATCATGATTAGTACATATTATATCGTTTCGATTGGTAGTAGCCATTAAAATGAACAAGAAAAATGCAGTTCGAAGACGGAAATGTCCCTCTAGCTCGAAGAAAATCATTACGCCAAAAAAGTATAAATTCTAACGCGTGTACGTTTTTTTAATGTTGTAGTTTTGTAAACACGTCAATACGATTGAGTTTTGACAGCTCGAACATACAACAATTTAGTTTCTGACACGTATTTTAATCAAAATTTTTAATGATATATTGCACGTTTATTTCTATTGAAAAATCAAAATTTGCAATTATTGAAGACACAATTCCGTGGCACTCAGCCAAAATGGCATCTTAATCGGGTTTTACTTGATTTTGTATTCCTTTAGAGTTATCTCAACTTTAGGCGACTGATTTGTACCCTATACAAGGTATTAGGTTGTATTAATATTTCATTTAAATATTACTTATTTAATGGATTTAAACGTTATAACATTACGAACTGACTTTAATACAAAGTAAATAATTCCATTAAAAATTGCACTTACTGAAAGGCTCTTTTCTCTCTTTCTGTCACATTGTGTTTACTGTGTTGAAAAGAGACAAATTAATAGTCAAAGTGCAGTTGGACTATGCCCTATGTATAACTGGGTTAGTATGATATTGTAAGGGGGACCTGATTTTGTGACTGTCTCATATAATAAACTCCGAAAATTTCCATGTAATTCAGAGTGCCAAATGCGATAACATTTTTTGTAAGTATCTGTGGTTGTGTAAGTTGCTACGCATATCAAATGCTTGAATTAAGTTTTAAATGATTTATATATTCTTATTTAGTTTAGAGTATAGCAGTTGTTTATTAAGAACTAACAGTGAGAACATTTATTTTATTGGAAAATAACTTATAACAGGTCACCAAGCTACATGTATTTAGACGTAGTTTTATATATTATTAACAAACAGATATACGAGATACATTTATATTTCAAATCTAAATATGTATTTAATTTTAGAGACAACTCATGCATAAACCTCCGAATATATTGAAAAAGCGCCATCTATTGAGAACTAGCGTAAACTTATTTTAAATCAAACATGGAATCAAGAACACAGTTTTGAATTAATAAAAAATACATGTTTTTATAAGTAGTAAATAGTAAAAAATATAGAGATGCTTAAGCTATCTATCAAGGTAGTTAACTCTAATTCAGATAGATGGCGCTCACCGGTAGTAACTCTGGAATGCCTTAGAAAATTATCTTTAATGTTTTATTATAAATTTCTATTCAACGCTCTATTGTATATACAGCTTTATGGATAGTTCTACCCTCAGTTTGATCAGATTAATTAGCGAGTTGCGTAATTTAAAAAGTAACACTGTTTTGCAAAAGCAAGACTGATAATTTTTTGTTGCGTTTAAAATACAATTGATTAAATCATCAGATTTAAGATTACAAACAAAACACACTCGTCGATTGGTTGTGTTGCTTCCATTTTAAATATTAAAATATATTTTGCGTATACGTAAACGCATTTGATAATTAAGACTTTCAGGTCCTTTGCGTGCTTTTGAATTGTTTTATTGATACGGAATACCGTGAAATTGGCCCTAAAAGACTGTGTTCATTATGTGTTTTGATGTATTTACAAAATGTAAGGAGACTGATGTCTGTTAAGTCGTAGCGAGGTAGCGAAATTAACATTTAATATTATAATTATGCACATTGATAATTCGATAGATAAAGATTTACGATTTTCTTAACCTACATAGTAATAATAAAAATAATCAAAAGAATAAAGCAAATTTAAAAAGTTTTGTCCCTGTGGCAGTGTAACTTTAACGCTGGCAGCATTTCCTCGCTGTATTAGTTGAGAGAGGAAAGCACCAGCTCTGGGGACACCGGTACTATCTACCAGGCGCAAACTTAATTTAATTAGCGCCTGTGCAGTTGAACCCCACGGCCCAAGAGTCTCCACTCCAAAGGGAACGAAATCGAAGTTGGAGGAAAGTCTCTTATATTTGAGCCGTTTTTTTTCCGCCTGCTTTGTGGCTGCCCCAGCTTTTCTTTGTTTATTATTTTTTTAACCTAAAAAACATTGTTTATAAGGTTAGGGAAGTGTTATTTTATAATAAATGATTCCTTCATATATAGGTCATTGCTTAAATAACATTTAAGCATCGAATAATTGAAATTGGCTCAAATACCTCGCTACGTTGGATGTGCCTATATTGTTCGTAATGTTTATACTTTGTGAATGACATTTTTGTATCGGTGGGTATGAAATCTCAAAATGCTCGAATTGAAATTATAGTAATTATGTTTAAATGAGATTTTATTGGAATTTTCATATTTTGATTAAAGTTCTCTAAATGAATGACTTTTGAAAGCTGTGTGTGTAGTTTTTATGTCTCATGATTATGACAAACAATATATCAATTTGTATGATTTATATAGAAATTATTGGATATAATATGTTTTCCGGTCTGAGCTTGGGAGGTCTGGGGTTTGACAAGACTTGAATAATCTTATAAGTTCTGGTTATCATGACCGAGCAAGATCAATATGTTCGTCGGCATGTAACTCGATTTGCGTACGTACTGTTATTTACTAGAAATAGTGAGACAGCTGTAAGTATAACTTCCGTATGTCAGGTAGTTGACATAGGGAGTCATACTTAGTGCTAAGTCTCCGTTCAGAACCTCTTATACTTAGTGCTAAGTCTCCGTTCAGAACCTCTTAATATTCCCGTTACAACTGATTCCAGCGCATCTAACGACTTACATGCCGTTACAGCCGCAGCCAGCATACAGCATCCCTTTTACGTGTATTATAATATAATGTAATTAATTAAACGAAATCGAAAACGAATCTTGAAACAATCTTGCTTTGGTTATGGTATACTATGATTTATAAGAAATTCCGTCGCAAAAAATTAAAGGAAGACATGAATAAATGAATAAATAAAAAGTTCAAAATGGTTTAGTTCTAAGAAATGGTAATTGTGTTATAAAAACTATAGTTTTAGTTTTTATAAACGCTATCATACTCGCATTTATTTTAGTTTTTATTTTGTATTTAGTTTAAATGATTAACGTAGCAAATTTTTTGTATTTTAATTTATTTACGTATTTTGAATGTATCCGTAAATGATATTTTTTGTGTAAGTTGAATATATGACTTTGATTTTTTTATTGGGTATTTTTATTTTATTACCTTTATTATTGAACCCATACCTAGACCTAGCAAATATCTTTAAATAGATAATTTGAACATTTTTTTCAAAGTTATGAAGGATGATCTAGCAATGATAATATGGTACCTACTCTTCGCGTTTTTTTAAAGTGGGTAAATGCCATGGTTACCCAGGATGACTTTCTCGCTCTGTAGCATGTCCAGCAGGGGTCCTACTTTCCGCCTCCCATGCTGGACAGTCCCTTAAGGTGTGTAGCGCGTCATCATCAACATTTACGTCACAGTGCTGCAGTGGTGGCAAGTAGGTGCGCCCCACTACTCTGCAATTATCTGCCGAAACAGCCGTTACCCCAGTTTTCAGTGTCAATGTAAATTGATTTCTACTAAGTCAGAAGATTCGATAGATACTCTTCGTGTAGGCGCATTACAGCCTAGTTAGCTTACACTTTTTTTAAGTTGATTATCGTGAATAGGAAAATATAAGAGTTTGCCTAAACTCTTAGTATGTATTTCCAATATTATGTTTAGCACAAGCAAAGTATTGTGCTCGCTTTATAAATACCTCATGTAAGTTTTACAAATATAGATAAATAATTAAATACGGAAAATGTGTAATCATATATCTAAACCATATTTGAAATATCCTTTACTTAGATGTTAAACTCTAAGATGTTTTCGCAGCATGTGTATATATAAATTATCTTATATGATTATACATATATTTGTCTTGTTTTAATTGCATAAGCTTGACGTAATACATAGTGTACCTTGACCTATGATATAATAACTTGAATGTCAGACCTATTTACAGATAACAGATATTTATATAGATCAAAGTTTTTTGAGCCATTTTATCATCGTCAACTTATTCTTAGCCTGTAATTTAAATTCGGAATTACCTAATACGAAACATGCACATGTCGTATAGTTCAGTTAGAGCATGATACATTCATATATCAAATAGACAAGTAAAACGTTTAATAATATTTTGTATGTGAAATTGTATAGAAGCGGTATTTTTGATAGTTTATTACAATTTATTATATATATAATAAACTCTATCATGGGCGTTGGACCTCTTATAAGCTGTAGACCAATTTTTTACGAACTCGGTATTCTGACAGTACCAAGTTTGTATATCTATGAAGCAGTTATGACTGTAAAGAAGCATCCAAAATTATTTAAAACATATAAAGAAACTTGCTTGTATATAGCGAGGGATCCAACACGGCTGCGGGTGCATGTTGCACCGCGCTATATTCCAAAAATTGTTACGCCATGGCTATAAGTATATTTAATCACCTTCCTAGAATTTATAGATCACTGCCATGTAATGTTTTCAAGGTGAAGGTGATTAGGCGAATATTTGGCCTATAAGTTTGACAATTAATTATAAATAGCTTGACTTATTATTATGACAGATGTTCTTATTATATGACTTAATGAGAATTAATGTGACATTTGCATGCCTAGTTTTGTGTGGCTGATTGTGTGGATTATTATAATTGATCAATATAAATGTACCACTTTCTTGCAAATAAATGATTTATTATTATTATTGAAAAGAACATGTCCAATTGATAGTGCTGGTTAGGAAAAAGTGTTTATAAAAGCTCAAAAAGGTTAGGTATAGGTTTAAATCTTGTATTGTCTTACACGTTTTTAGGAATCACTCGCATATGTATGTCATTAAAATCTAAAAACGTTCGAGGTAAGTTTTATTGGCAATCAATAACGTCTAGTAATGATTTATCTACTCCAGACGGCGTGAAGCTAATGTTTTAAATTACGTTTAATAAATCCGGTACGAGAAAACAAATCTATATATTATTTAAACTATCAGGGTCGCATAAATGTAAATATGCTTATAGTCAATATTAATCTGGAAATTCCAGTTGGCTGCCCACTTATATTTGTAAGTATGTAATAATAAATGCAAGTTTTTTTAGGTATTTTCATTTATTAGGTTAACATTCAATAGTAGGACAGCATTTAGGGTACGGGTATAAGGTGACTTCATCATGCTTTACTAATTTACAAGGAGGCACCGCAAAGGCAACACTGCAACTGAAAAAAAATTACATGAAAACACGTATTCAACATGATTTAGCAGCGGCGCTACAAGCTTTTTACGTCTGGGCCTCAGATTTCTGTATCTGTTTCATGATCATTTATATTTCTTAATAGACAATCAGCGATCAGCCTCCTGTGCCTGACACACGCCGTCGACATTTTTGGTCTAAGGCATGCCGGTTTTTTCGCGATGTTCTCTATCTCCTTTCAAGCAAATGTTAAATGCGCATATAGAAAGAAAGTCCATTGGAGCAAAACCGGGGATCAAACCTACGACTTCACGGATGACAAGCGCACGCTGAAGCCACTAGGTCAACACTGCTCGCGATGAAAGATGTTTACGGTAGTTAAAATATAGTCTATGTGGTATCACGACTCGCAAAATTCTTGCGACAAGTTTGTATTTCCTTCATCGCTCTCTGTATTAAGATATTTATCGATTATATAGAGACCACCAAATTTTTCCATATTATTATTATAATCATGTTTATCTAAACATCGACGCCCAGGTACAGAAGACTAATTACATACTTATGTATTAAGGAAATTATGTGATATGAATTACCAAGACCAGATTTAAATATATATGGGAATAAAATATTCTTATCGATGTCTTGGACGTTAACAATTCCTCATACATGTAAAAGAAATTGGATTTCATTAAAATTGAGCATACAAGCAGCTTTACAAGTTTCACTGGAACTCATGTTTAACTTTTTACCAGCCACAAAGAGATTATAACTGTTTGCAGATTAGCGACGGATCGTAGTTATTAGCGATTAATGCAAAATCATTTACATAATTCATAGTTTTATTTAGTTACGATTCTACGAACTATGCGAGAAGTTGTATGCAATTTAATGAACTACTTATAATTTTTTTATATGTTCACGCTTCTACTATCAACTGTTCAAACAAGGGTCCCACCAAGTAATTATATTTCTATGTCATTTTATGCAAATGTTTAGCTGAACAAAGATATTTATGTGTGATTAGTTTTTGATTCCATTACACGTGTATACAAGTGGAAATCATTTTATATGGTAACTAACAAATGTGCATTTGTTCCAGTCAGTTGTCAGGCACAGAAGTCCGATCACCTACTTGCCTATATAGAAAAAGTGTTGAAGAAGATGGCATCTGAGATTTTATCAATGGATGATGATTATGATTGCTAGAACTCTTTATGGATAATCTGAAATTGTGTTATCTTAATATATATAAATTACGTGTCACGTTGTTTGTCCGCTATGGACTCCTAAACTACCGAACCGATATCAATCAAATTTGCACACCGTGTGTGGTTTGATCCAACTTAAAAGATAGGATAGCTTACATCTCAATTTATACCCGCAATATATTTGTTTATTTTTGGATAGTCACAATTCTAACAGATGGCGCTGTGTTGAAAGTACCAACGTTTCACATAAGCTACGATTTAATGACATAACCACCAATAAAGCATGGTGGTCCTCATAACTGGTGTTCTCCTACCGTTTCCCTTGAATAGTTTACTACTATGTAATATAACAAAAACCTTAGCCACAGCAACGCTTGGCCGGCTAAAAAAGATTATTGGTGAAATTCACTTACGTTTCAATGGTAACATATTCTTCTCCGCATCTGTACCCAATACAGCTAGTTTTAGATGGAACAAACTGGCCAAGCGGTATGACGGCGTCAATGTCCTTTACATAGCATCCCTCTATGTCCTCTGTAAAAGCAGTGGTTAAAGAATCGTTTGCTTAATATCGTTTATCGTTTAACCGACTACATGCGATCCGGATCTGAATATAATTTTTTGTTCCAAAACCTACGGTGCCATTACTGTTAGCCGATAGTGTAACGATTACGGTTTACTCACAAACAATGGATTACTTATTTTAAACCCTTTTCCGAACACGTACATAGACTTGTATTAACGAATTTAATCTTGCGCATATTTGGGTAAAGTTTTGGGGTTTGCTGCTGAATTATTAAATAACTAGCACTAGTTTTAAGCACAATAAATCCAATTAAACTTTAAAAAAATCTTGATTACGTATATGCAATTTCTTTGAATTCCGCAAAACATTATTTGATTTTTAAATTGTCACTTACTGAATTTATCTGGCTTAGGATCCGGTAACATCAACGCAAGACTTGCAAAGGTCACAGATATCACAGCTAAAAATACGACAACTGATCGGAACATTTTTATGAAGTCTAATGTTACCTCATAATCGCACTCGGCTTTTATACTATTAGAATTACATTTCCGAGAAACTTCGCTATCAGTGAGAAATAATGAGAGACTTTGCATCTACTTGGAAATTCATTCAGAGATCATTTTATTAATTCATAATAATATAATCCAATCAAACATACATTATGTTTGATTTTAATTTTATATTCCTACAATAACTTAATACTAAAACTAAATTTAACTATAAACATATTACTATTTACTAAAAAAAGCCAAAACCTTTTTGATACTAATTACTTATGAATAAATGCTCCGGGCTTACACGAGACCGCTATCCCGGTCCCAAGAAAATAGAGCTACCTTCTCGATAACTCATGTTCGGCGCGTCCAAGTCGCGGATCTGTATAGAGATCCATTACCCGGGGTCACGGGACATTAACGGTGGAGGGCAGAGACTGCAGTACGGCCAAACAAGCAGAAGAGGCGAGCTATAAGGAAGTTGTTCCTGGATCCTGATTGAGGACAGCGGTGCCCATCAGTACCTTAGCGAAGCGCAAGGAATCTTTCAAAACCGGTTCACTAAAGGATTATCGTAGCCACTGAGGCTGTGATACCACGATGTAGAAAGCAATGGAAAACTACTTCATAATCTTCCATAAAATCGGATAACAGAACTTTAAAGATGCCATCTGAATCGTAGCCGATTTGAGCGAGACACACTGGAAGAGTAGCCACGGCTACTTTAACTTAGAAAAGTATACCATCTATTCATCTATTCTCGTCACGCCTTTGAAGTCGTAAACAATTTAATAGAAAGAGAAGTATAGATTATGCCTTATATTTTTTTTATTATATTATTTTATAAAATTATTTGTATAGTTTAAAATATTCTTAACCTATAGTAATAATAAAATTAATTAAAAATTAATAAAAAGAAAATTAAAATGAATTTAGGAAGTTTGGTCCCTGTGGCAGTGTAACTTTAACGCTGGCAGTCTTTCCCCGCTGTATTGCGATACCTATTCGTTGAGCGAGGATAGCACAAGCTCTGCCCTGCGATTCTGTAACTCACTTTTCGAACTCACACAGCGGTTTTCGCATCGGCGGTCGCTTTGAAATTAGTCGTGAAGCAGTCATTTTATGATTTGGCATTCTGATAAACAATAAACTACAAGCTCCCACCTTTTCAGAATGCCAAATCATAAAATGACTGCTTCACGACTTATTTGAGAGCGACCGCCGATGCGAAAACCGCTGTGTGAGTTCGAAAAGTGAGTTACAGAATCGCAGGGCAGTGGTCACCGGTATTATCTACCAGTTGCAGTATCTACCTCCAGTGCAGTTTAACCAAACGCCCAATGTTTACTCCAATGGGAACAAAATCGAAGTTGGAGCAAAGATTGATTCAATAATTGTTATTTTTGTTAAAAAGGTATCTTTAATCTGAATTCGATAGTATGAATAAATCGCAGTAATAAAGGCCCAATAAACTCAAATGCAGAAATAGCTCAGGAATTTGAAAACTTTTTTATCAATATTCCCTTTAAAACTACCGAAGCTTTAAGTTCATCATCCGCACTTTCTTTTGCGTTACTTACGAAGCATGCCCTACGGAGTTTCGATTTCAATATACAAACCCCCAGGCTGTTATGAAAGCTTTTAAAGATCTTAAGATTAAATCTACAGAAGATCTTTGGGGATTGTCTGTAAAAGTCTGTAGTGCTATCATCGAAACTATTGCGCCTTATTTAGCTTTCATATTTAACACCAGCATAGACCAAGGAGTCTTTCCGGATCTCATGAAACACAGTAAAGTAGTTCCGTTGTTCAAATCCGGTGATAGTAAAGAACCCAATAATTATAGACCTGTGTCAATTCTGCCAGCTCTCAGTAAGGTGTTTGAAAAGTTAATGCTCAATCAAATGTTATGTCACTTTAATAAAAACTCCATCTTTCATGAACAACAGTACGGTTTCACCAAAGGGCGTTGTACAACTGACGCCGGTGTCTCCCTAATCAAGAACATTTTTAACGCTTGGGAGGAAGCACAAGATGCCATTGGAATCTTTTGCGACCTTTCGAAGGCGTTCGATTGCGTAAACCATGAGACTCTTCTGCTGAAACTTAATCACTACGGGATTAAGAACAAAGCTCTGGACTTACTAAGATCTTACTTGAAAAACAGACAGGTTAAAGTTCAGGTTAACGGCATAAACTCGTTAGGGTCTGAAATTACAATGGGCGTTCCTCAAGGTTCAATATTGGGTCCATTCCTCTTTTTAGTATACATAAATGATTTACCCCAATTAGTTCAGAATAAACCGAAGATGGTGTTATTTGCAGATGACACATCATTGATTTTTAAAGTAGATCGACGGTCACAAAATCGTGACGACGTGAATAACTCTATTCTTCGGGTCCAAAATTGGTTTACGGTAAACAATTTGGCACTGAATGATAAAAAAACTAAATGTATTAGATTTACGTTGCCAAATGTTAAAAGTAAGGAATGTGACATAATGTTGAATGAAGGAAAACTGGAATTTATTAATCAAACGGTTTTCCTAGGCATCACGCTAGACGAGAAGTTACAATGGGGACCTCATATCACATCTCTTGCGGGGCGGCTGAGCTCAGCCGTTTATGCGGTTAGAAAGATAAGATATTTAACCAATGTAGAAACTGCGCGTTTGGTCTATTTTAGCTACTTTCACAGCATAATGTCATTTGTTACGGCATTTTACTGTGGGGTCGGGCTGCTGACATAGAATCCATTTTTATTTTGCAAAAGAGAGCGGTCAGAGCCATTTATAATCTACGTCGTTGCGAATCTCTCAGGGAACTATTTAAAAAGATTAATATTATGACAGTACCTTGCCAATTCATTTATGAAAATATTATGTATGTAAGAAAGAATCTACATCTTTTTAGTAAAATAAATGAAAGACATAATTTTAGTACTAGAAATAAAGATAAAATAGCTCAACCATCTTTCAGATTAGCCAAAGTTCAAAATTCATTTATGGGGTACTGTGTGAAATGTTACAATAAAATACCTTGTGACATTTTAAAACTAAATGAACGAAAATTTAAATGTTTTATTAAAAGTACACTTTGTAAACAAGCATATTACAAATTAGATGATTATATTCAAGATAAGAATGCTTGGAAACATGCTGGTCCTGCCCTGCGATTCTGTAACTCACTTTTCGAACTCACACAGCGGTTTTCGCATCGGCGGTCGCTCTCAAATCAGTCGTGAAGCAGTCATTTTATGATTTGGCATTCTGATAAACAATAAACTACAAGCTCCCACCTTTTCAGAATGCCAAATCATAAAATGACTGCTTCACGACTGATTTGAGAGCGACCGCCGATGCGAAAACCGCTGTGTGAGTTCGAAAAGTGAGTTACAGAATCGCAGGGCAGCTCCATAGGACAATCCTATGATTGGCTCTATAGCCTGGACAAAATCAAATTGGTTGCTGATTTTTTGCTTTAACATATTTTTGTTATTTTTTTTTTTAATTTATATAATGCTACAAATGTAATTATTTTTTTTGTATCTCACACACTGTTTTGTTGTGTTTTTTTAATATTTTTATTACTCTTTAATGTTAATATTCTAAGGTTTCGATATTTGTAAATATGTGAGGAACATGTATACTAACTTTTTTAGTATAGTAGTTTATTCTAAGAGTACATTGTCTTCACATATAATTATTTAACAAATGTAACAAAATATTGTAAACCTAATACCTATTTTAAAAGAGTAAGTGTGGAGTTTCTTGCCCATTCTTCTCCACACGAAACTACCTTTTGGAAGGGGCAACTAGAATCATCTTTATATATTTTTTTTTTGACGTTCAAAAGTGCCATTTTAGATGGTCTAATTGAAATAAACGATTTGACTTTGACTTTGACTTCGCTTCTTGTTGATAAAAGCTAAATCAATTACAATATTTTAGCTTCAGCTAAAGTAGCTTCATATCTTTTAGTACAAGAATATATAAGTCCATACTTCGATTTACCTCTTATTAAGGGCAAGATTCAAAAAGAGACTTAGTGCTGAGATTAAGGTCCTTCATCTGCCTAGATTCTTAGTGGAAAAATATGAGAGTAAATTTTTACGAAGCGCGCTTACACCGTCATAATTAAAAGATACCCTGAAGTTAGTAAAGTCAATATTTTAAAATAAAAAAAGTCCATTTTTTTATTATGTAGAAATATATTTTTTTGCGATATTTAAATAAACTTTATTTAACTATATAATGCGTAATAATAAAACTTTCAATGTATTGAATACCTTTTTCTATTGTTAGTGTCGTTTTTTCTACAAACGTCAAGAATAAGGCTAAAGATAATTTTTTAAAAAGATTTTTATCTTGTTACGCCAAGTATAACTTCTAACCCGTGTACATATGTACACACACATGTTTTTTTTTTACGAAAATATATAACAGCAATTTAAAGTAACATGTTTAGCAGAGTCAAAAGAAAACTGTTTAAAATTTTATCAGTGCCTGCAGCGTTGGAACTAAGTACGTGAATTTTGGCATCCTTTGCGAACGTACGCTAACTCAATATTTATTTCACCCTATTGATTAGCAAGCTTGTGCCAATACCACTGAATATAAAAAAAATCAGGAAAATAAAGATAAATCTTTAATGCACGTATACGATTTAACATAAGGTATATTAGCCGTCAAAGACTTTTTTGATATATAGGAGTAATACTTAGTGCTAAGTCTCAACGCTGCATCTTAATTTTATTTTGTGGTGTAGTTTAGACTCAGTTCCCGCACTAAGACGCCCATTCCGTTGTCCGTCATGGCTAATTAAGCCAGCATAGGTCCTACCAGAAGTTCAGAACTTTCCTGGGCACTTAGTAGGCTTCACGGCGACCTAACTACTCCGAGGATTTTTGCTCGTTGAGGACTTCGCAACTGTCTTTACACAAGAGACTGCCGCCCCAAGGTCAAAGAGGTGTTTATTTAGGCGACAGTGGCCCGCAATAAGCCCTATTATATGTATTTTGAGATTAATTTAGTTGAGACTTAGAAGTCGCTTTGTCACTAGCGGGTTTACTGGCAGTGCCATTTTGGACTGTTTGCGATCCGCGTTTTGCGACCAACGGTGATTTGGGAATCCAGATTTACACTTGCGAGAAGGGCTAGGTAGGGGAGGGATGCTCTCTTTGCAAGTTCGTCGGCAGCATCATTGCCAAGAGGTCCATTGTAGGGAAACCTTGTTTGTCAGGCTTATTGCCTCCATTGCATGGTGACACTTCGGTATTAGTTGTTCGTATTTTTGTTTTCTAACGCCATCACCACAGACGCACTGTCAGATACGAATTGAATATTTAAATTATTTATCCCTAACCACTGTATGACTCTGGCTGCTACGGTTAGAGTAGCTCATAGTATAACCTATTCTTATAAAAACCAACAAAACTAATATGTTTATGATATTTTTTTGTGAATACCGTCATTTGAAATTCTGTTATCACATTTATGCATATATGAGGTAAAAAAAAATTGAGTAAGGGGTTGGCTACGTAGCGTAGTTAAGTAGCGACCTAACACCATAAGTTAATGTTAATTTTAATATGTATATTAACTACAATTTAATGTTATAATATATTAAATCAATCTGCTAATAATAATCATTTGCCTCAGCTTTTACTTTTCAGGTTAAAATATGTTTTAACGTAATTTAATTAATTAATTAATGTAATTTATAGGATTTGGAAACCTGTTCGTAGTTGTACGATTACTCTAACTTCTTCAGTCTCTTGCTAAAGCCATCGCCTCGTAGCTGTTGCTTGCTTCAGTATGGACCCACCCAAAGGATTGTATTCTGCCTACATCAAAAATGAAGTGTACGGGACATTCCTATTATTTTTTCAGTTACCCAACATGACATTTCGTCTGTATAGTTGTCTTGCGTGGCAATCTTGACTGGATAATTTAATTTTTGTGTGTATCGTATAGTCTTATAGACAAGAGTTAAAAATAAACTAAATGAAATATGTATTGAATTTGGGAATGCTAATTATCGCAGGTTGGCTACTGTCTAGAGAAACTTATGCCAAATACGAAACTAGAAGCGGACTACATGTGTATCGCTCGCATATAGTTTTGTATATTTTTAATAGATGTCTTAACCAAAATTACAATGTTTGTCCAACTGCTGTATTCAATAAAAACTATTATCAAAAATTTTATTATAATGTGTTAATCAACTGAATCAGTGAAACATGTGTATTATACAGAAGAAAACGAATACATTGTTCTTCATTGTAATTCTGAAACAATATTTTAATACTGTGTTTTTTTGTTATCAGATTTTGATAATTATTTCGAAACCATATATTTACTACCTAGAAAAAATCAACGAAATAGATGATGATCTTTTTAACAAACTTGTTTAGGTTACGTTTTTCCTTTTAATCATCGCCCTCTATTTCCTGAGAATGCCTATTTAATTATTTTAAAAAAATAGGGCCTTTTTTTATTTCCCTTTTTGCCTCTCCACTGGATTTATGATGAACTTGTTTTTTAAAGTGCGAGTTGAACTTTTGTAAAAAAAGGTATAAAAATAAAACGATAGAAAATATTTTTCCATAATTTATTTGGTATCTCTCGCGGTAACTTCTTTTCTTGACATCCCTCTATTTGGCACAATATTTGGCGTTTATGATTCTAAATACAATACTGTCATTCAATAAATAATCGCATGATTTATTATATCGACCTGACATAAAGAATGGAAGATCTGTCAAATAAGTTCTGTAGACACGTATTGTCTTTGCCTCTCAGATTTTTGTCAGAGCTATCCATTCCATGTCTAAGCCGACGTTCATAAACGAGTACTCAAGTGACTAGAAATAAATGGTTTTGCGCTTAGATCTGAAATTACCAAGAATCAGAAATATTGAATACTCTTTGGATTCGGATTCGCTTGATCTCCGTAACCGTACAAGCTTCCAGAGCTAAGCGCTAACAGTATAATATAAATATTAAATTTAAATGCGCTATCCTTAATGTTCAATTAACTCTAGTCCAATGGCAGTATTGGTGTATATAATAATTTTTATAGTATATTTCTGAGTTAGCTAATATCAATTGGCAAGTAAAGAAAATCAGTGAGACTAACATTACATCGTTACAGACAAACAACCTTTACACTTATATTAGAAACTACTAATTATTAAACACAACAACTTCCCGTCGTTTCCCTTCTAACATTTTAGTTGATACCTTCTCGATCTAGATCTTCTGAAATAGATCCGAAATAAGCCGAAATCTATTTCAGATATCACCTAGATGTAACAGATTCCTGTTTCATTCCGTTGATAGAAAATCTCTTTAGACGATTTTCTTTCAGTCGCATTTCGAATTTAATAACCAACTAAATGAGCAACCTGTATATAAGAAAAATTACTTACAACTCCACTTATTCTTATTTCAAATTACTCATTCGTTTTGCGATTTCGTTAATGTCTTTTGACGCGCAAAAGTTCTGACACTGCTGTGTCGTCAGTTTATTGCCAATTGTCCTTAAATCTAACCATCTTACATCATTGATTAAATATTTAATTATTGCTTTATTTCATATTGGTCTGAACCTGAACATGCTGCAAGTGAGAAATCGTGTAAAAAGACAAGTGGTGTGCTATCTGTGTGCTTATCTTCAATATATTCGCTAGTTTATAGAAACGAAGCGGTCTCGACAAACAATTTCTAAGAGCAGCCAAACTACTAGTAAAAGTACTTCTAAAAGTTGAACACTAGACACTCTAACGGGACAGCCGTCTCCGATGACTTTTAAAGGCTTTTGACAGAATTCATCCTGAGATCACGTTCTTAAACATAAAGTACAATCTATTATTGCTTTTTAGAATTGCACTATTAAGTTTACAAATACAGCTTAACAACTCTCTTTGATATACTAGTACATTCCGCGGCTTGCATTGTCCAGCGTGGGCGTGGGGTGCCTCAAGGCCATCGATTAGGTCCGCTAAGTTAATGTTCATATGTGAACGAGGAAATTTTGAAGTCTATTGACACTTTATGAATTACAGCGCACTCAGACGGGAGGGTCCATGTGGCGCTGTAACGACGTCAGTCACGTGTGGAACACCCACCCTGGGACCGGAGGTCACGCGTCAGGAACACCGTGGATATGATGTTGATAGTTGTGATTTAATTTGTTTGCGAACTCATTCATGATATCCCTGAATATGACCGAGTCGAGGTTCTCCCCGAGTATGTATAAGAGATACCAATCCCCCATCTTGCTCCGGCGCACGATCGTGTCTACATTGTCTCGTCTGACGAGTCTGAATCTCATTCTCATCATGTAAACGCGCATGCGAGGGGAGAAGATGATGACGATTCTGTAGATGAGTGTGATTAATGTGAGGATGCCGAGGATGACGAACCAAAACCAGAGGAACACGTAGATCTTCTCGTTGACAACGTTCAGCGGCAGAATGCAGAGCGCGTCGTGGCGCTCAACCTCGCCCGACGAACCGAATTTGTTGAATAATGTGCATTTTACCATTCTGAAAGATACAGAGATAGTATATTAATATAAATTAATGAAAGCTGGTGTAATAAAGTTAGTTAATAAGTATTTAGTTAGATTTAAAAGTTATAAAATATAGACGTGACCTTACAAGCTGAAAGGTAAAAATGAAAGGAGGAGACTGAATGTCGGGGGATCTTTTAATTTTATTATCAAGTTAAATTTATAAAAATATTTTTAAGTCTGACAATTAGTTGAGATTAAATTAAATTAATTTCTCTTTTCTCATTTACTCTTGCTCGAGATTATTTTGGAGTAAATATTTTAATAATTAACATTCAGTTATGGTAATACATTTTATCGAGAACTTAAGAATATTTTAATGAAAAATACTACCTAGGAAATATATAAATCATCGGATCAATCCTGTCCTCCTGATCAGATTCCATGTAGGCTATCACATCTAGCCCAAAAGTCATGAACTCGCCGTCAAAGAAGCGGTTCATAAGGAACATTTGCCCTGAAATAAACAATTACTAATAAGTAAAACAAAGTGCGTGCGTACAAAGTACACATGTCAGAAGTGAAACTTCTTTGTAAATTAATTAGGTATTACTAAGGTAAAAGTCCCAATAGATGATCATGTACCAGTATATGATCAAATATTCACACTGTTTACACACTGTATTCGTGCTAATTATAATATAACTAAATAAAAAATCTGCGTTTTCTGCACAAGACGTTATGCGACAGAATTGCCATCTAAAGTTCTAACATTCAAGTACTAAACGAATAGCATGAAGCTACGCTATTGGTTGTTGTATTCAATTCAATCGCTCTCTCCCTTTTCTTCGACAAAAACGCTTCACATCTTCGTGACGCTAATATTATTATTATTACGTTTCATCCGTAAAAAAATTGCCCTCATGCCTTCTTTGGGCGTTTCACTTCAAAACCATTTTCTAAAGGGGACTGTTTTTCCCTGATTGGTCAGATACCTAGGACAAATGAAGGAATCAATCACCTCTGTTCTGTGACATATGTCTTTGATGTCCTTTCTGCAGTAAAATTCATATAGAACTTCCAACGTTACTCTCTGGAGAGACACCATGGATTGACCACTCGGCCGGGTACTTACCACCCTTTAAAAGCGGAGAGATTTTTCGAATTTAATTTTTACTAACGCTCCGAACCCGACGTAATTTTACGCAAGAATTGTAACTCCGAATCTATCATTACGAGAGCGTTTTGCACATATTTAATAGTTTTATTATTAATATATAAAAATTTCAAAGACCGCATCATCATGACTAACAATATGTATCAACTATGATTTATGCCTACACATATGTTATATTATAAACAAAATGAGGCTAATCCCTATAATCATAGATTCTTCAAAACATTTTTGAAACTCGGAACTATTGAACACAAGAGCCACTTTAAGCAGGCTGGATTTACGTCAATTTGCATATCACGTTTCGTAATATTTAACAAGTACAGTTTAAACTCTTTATAACGAATTTCAAGAAACCGAGCATTTTCTTTCGTTATAGGGAATGTATAGAAAAAAAACAAATTTAACCAATTATAACAATTTCTAATTTTATTACTATCAGTATGTAAATTATTATAAACAAAACGCTTTTCTTTTATTGGCCATCTTGACAGTTTCAAAGTTTGTCTACGACTGATAATATACGATAGGTGACGGTGGTCCGTTTAAAAATTTCCTACAGGCAATGTAATCTAAGAAATCTAATATCTTTCTTAGAAATTTCGGCACCTCAAAAGTTTTGTTTTGTAAGCTGGTTATAAAACAATTACATTTAAGTATGTTGTTGATGTCTAAATATTAAAATATTACTTCGTTATATAGAATGTATAGGTTTTGTGTTAAACCAAACATGTGTAAGAATGTTATCGTTATATAGAGTTTTGTATTATATCGAATTACGTTATAAGGAATTTACACTGTATGTAAATGAGTCCAATAAGATTAATTCTAGTCTATTATAATATTATGTATAATAGTTCTGAGTTTGACAAATTATTATACGGTTGTACGTATGAAAGACCTTATACTAATACAGAATACAGCTAGTTCTGAGCTTCTTAATAAAACAATACTTATACCCGTAGACGCTTCGCCTGTATGCTTCGCCGTCTTGCAGGTTTCGACTTTTGGTCAATATTTTTGGGAGTACGTTTTTATTAGACTCATTGTTATGCGATATGAACCATTCTGGCAAATTTTCACGTGAGGCACGAACACGGATGACGGTTTTTGAACATTTATTTCAACTTTATAAAGCCAACACGTACCAACGAATCCATATCACAGGGTGGAAATTTTGTAATTATCATTTTGTGATTTATATAAGAAATAATAAATTAGGCACTAGTTATTATGGTATTAATAATACTATATTCAACATATGTTAAATCTGTTTCATACATCAAAACAGAATCATCAAGAATAGAAAAGAAAAACATACTATATACTTCTTTTTTCAAATTCCTGTAAGCATGGAAAAGTAATTAAGACAAACCCGTATTATATTATTATTCAAATTTAAATCTATGTTAACTTTGAACGGTCCATTTAAGTTTGTCATATTTAACAGTGTATCCAAACCAAATTGTATCATAAAAAAACTCAATTAAAAAATAACAATAGTCTATATCACTTAATAAGGATTACATTAAGTTTATGTTATTATTGTATTTATTATTAGTACACGACTTCTGACAAAGTGATGTCTTCCTCCAAACTCTTCCATTTGTCTCTCATCTTCGCTTCTATTTTTCAAATTTAAACCCCATTACTAACCATTTATTTATCGATCTTTCAACGTATTATAGTTAATGCCTCTTCAGCATGGCTCTAGTATAAAGAGGTCGTCCCATAATAACCGGCCAACATTGTATTTGACTACAATATATTAAGCCATTTTGAATCATTCAAAACATGCTTATTATTCGATGCGAGCCACTTCCGTTTCAATAACAAAAATAAGGGCTCTGTTTTGGGATTTTGCTGGTTATGCTGTTTTCTGGCGGGCTATTAAACTAGCTATAAAGGTTTTTTAAAGTGAAACTTCTTTAGGCGCATGAGGGTAAAATTTTTTCGGATGAAACGCAACAATAATAATATTAGCGTCACGAAGATGTGCGGCGTTTTTGTCAAAGAAAAGGGATAGAGAGTGAGACCGATTGAGAGAGAGTGAGAAAGGGCGAACGTACAGTAGTAGTAGTTAGTAGTTACAGTAGAACTTTAGATGGATGGATTCTGTCGCATATCGTCTTGTGCAGTAACCCCAGATTTTTTATTTATTCATATTATCATTAGCACGTATACAGTGTGAATATAGATATACAAATACATGGAGTGATCATATACTGGTACATGATCATCTATTGGGGCTTTTACCTTAGTAATAATTAATTTACAAATAAGTTACACTTCTGACATGTGTACTTTGTACGCACGCACTTTTTTTATTCATGTATACATTTAATAAACGTCACCATTATCTTATATTCTAAAATTAATTTGAAATAATCGTGTTGAAATTAGATTTAAGGTTTTATCATAAATAATAACAAAGTTTTACGTGTTTCAATTTCAAATTGAAATAATTAAAAGTGCAAATGCAGTAAGAATTTACAAATGTCTGTTACAAATTTGCACCTATTTAGTATATATATGTCGTAGCCAACTAGTTTAATTGGCCGTTCAATCAACAGCCTAGTCTCTTTACGCCATGTTCAGCCGTTTGATCAAACAGCTAGACAAATGACTTGGATCGATGACGTTACATTACTTGCCTGTCCTGTACATTTCTATTTAGTTCCATTTTCTGCCACCTACACCAATATAGCGTCGGCAAAACCACTAATTTGATAACGTTTTCCAAAGTTTTATGAAAAAATAGTATGGAAGAGTGTAAGAACACTAACATATCAAATTTTAAATATATTAAATAAAGAACTTCCTATGGTCGTTTACATGGTCGTAAGAATGGCCTAAGCATTAGCCAGCCAGTTTATTAAATGTTGTAACAAACGCTACGGCTGTATATCATTAAGGTCGCTAGTTAAACGGCGCTGTTTACTAAAGAGGCTAGGCTGTAGACTGTACGGCTTATTAAGCTAGTTGACTGCAACATATATATATAAAATGCTATTACTAAAGCTTCAAGTCAAATAGAGGATATAATAACGTAAATCTATTCTGTTTCCTTTCCTATGTAAAACATAAAATTATATCGTGTTGAATGAACAATATTTTCATTGCACTGTATGTTTAATGGCCACAAGTTTTAGTCCACGTAAGGCAACCAGCTGTCGTGAAAGCGTCCTGAATCACAAACTAGTAGGAGCGTGAAGCTTCAAAACAATTATGAAAAGCAGCTCATAGTATCGTAGTCTGTGCGAGCAATCTTCATATGTCAGTATAAAAGATTTATTATTTCGAAATATTAGATGCTGAACATTTGCAGATATAATACGTAAATATGATAGTATGGAATACTTGAGAAGCGCACCGAGCGATATTGAATTAAACGGTATGAACATTCGACTAAGGGTGTAAGGCCGGCAACACACATGCGAGCCTTCTAGCAATGTGAGTGTCCATGGGCGGCGGTATCGTCAGATGAGCTCCTGCCCGTTTGCCTCTTATTACATAAAAAAAAATATACTATCTGTTTTTATAGACATTTTGTATGAACTATTAAATGTTTGCACTAATATTTTTAGGGTTTTTCTCGATAATGTTGAAGCTTCATGACACCACAGTCTCATGACAGCATGATTAGATATAAATAAAATTTGGTATTGGTCATATTATTCCAGAAACATCGTTCTATAAAGAACAAATTTATTATAAAATTGTTTGATCCCATAGATTCATCAACACAGTCTGAACTTAAAAAGATATTCAAAAAGTGTAATTATTAAATTGAATTATTTTTTTTACACCTTTATATACAACTAGCGGAATCGACAGACATATGCACGTCTTAAATACAATTTTTTTTATTGCAAATCTATACCATTCTCGAATCCAACTGCATACACACAAAAACTTCGTCAATATCGTTTAGGAGTTTATTTACAACATTATTCTTTAGTTATTTTTACCTTAATGTAAAAACAATTAGTTAAATTGATGCAAATATAGATTTGTTAATAAAGACAATCAATCTAATATATAAAATTCTCGTGTCGCGGTGTTTGTGGTTTAACTCCTCCGAAACAGCTTGACCGATCCTCATGAAATTTTGTGTGCATATTGGGTATGTCTGAGAATCGGACAACATCTATTTTTCATCCCCCTAAATATTATTTTTTAATTTTTAGATAAATTTTTATATTTTTATGATACAGCATTAAAAAATACATACAACCCCTAGTTTTCACCCTTCTACGATCAACCCCTATTTTTTATCATGTATAAATGATATACATGGCATAACAACGTTTGCCAGGTCAGCTAGTAATTCTATATAAAACTGCATTCCAAACGATTTAATGTTACGTAAAAATAGTTCGAAATTTAATTTCTCTCCACAAAATGGCTGATATTTACTCATTAAGTAGCGTGCATCAAACTGTCAACACATTTCACAGATTTTAGATTTGTATAAAAGTTGAATTTCATTTTGCAACGAAGTGTTGGCATCGTTGCGCATTGCACATTTTAATTCCTTTTTTGTGCAGATACACGCTCGTTTAAGTGGATCCTATAAAATTTATTTTTATTCAAATAAGTACATTTTAGCAAATTTTGTAGCTTTCTTTATTATAATTTACAGTTTTATTTACACTTGAAAATGCTTTGTTTATGAATGTGCCGTATCAGAAGACACTAATTTATTGAAATAAAAGAGCATATTTCTTTTACATTTAACATTATCAAGAGATCTATGCTATTGATACTTATTTTGGAGTGTTGTTAATACAGTAATCATTAAAAATATTGTATTAAGTTTAAGTGATAGAACCAATCACTCAAACTTAAATAATTAAATGAATAATTAAATTATTCGGTGATTGGATATCATAACAGGTTAATATCTATATTAAACTAAGCTTCCCTCTACTAAGACAGAGCTCTACCAGAAATTCTAAATTGTCATAAGTAAACTGTCAACTTACCAATAACATTGACAAGAGCGAGCCCTTCGCACAGATAATAACGGTAGGCCCACCAATTGTGGTAGCGCAGGTTCTCCCACAGATAATCCAGTATCAATTTCTTCTTCGTCTTCTTCTCTATCTCGGTGCACACACCTACGTCCAGGTCCATCATAAGGGCCCGGATTTTTCCTCCTTCCCATGACTTCCATAACCACCGTGGAGCGTAGAATAACATGGCCTGAAACAATGGGATTATCATTATTATTCAAACAATTCGACCAGAGTTATATAAAGTTGGTTATTGGTTCCTGGTGGTTATAAAATTAGTTGGTGTCACGGATCTGTTGGTTAATATATATAAATAATTTTGTTACCTAAATCAATAAAAATATACAGAAATATGTAGTTTGTTGCGTATGAAATGAAAGAAAATAGGGTCATCAAACTTGAGTACGTAACAATACTACTATAATATATACTATAATTGACAACATGCTTTGAATGAACACCAACGATAACTATACGATTTATTTAAAAATACATAAGTTTAGGAGTACTCTTTGACGTACCCATCTCTTTATCAAATGTATCTTTCGATGTGGCCTAGATTGGCGAACCGTATATTATATAACCAGAAAACTTCACAAATCATATTCCCAACGTAAGCAAACAAACATTAAACCTCCATTCATTAGTACTAACAAAGAAACTTTAGCGTTGCAATTTCCCGGCGACAGCAAGGGTTTTCATGGTTTTCCGAGCTTTCTAGAGCATCTTATGTGAAGCGTAGTCTCCGATACCTGTGTAAGGGTCCTTGGTCACGTAGGCATCAGGAGGAAAAAGTAGGGAATGTAGGGAAAATGTGCTAGCTCGGACGGCTGAGACTGAGCAAGTCGAGGGCTGTTGAGTGTTTGCACGATTTGCAATTATGGCGCTAAATAAATTCTAAGACACAGTTCGATTTTTTATATCAGACTTAATCAATAAATTCAGTGTTCATAAGCAGTTTTTCTAAGCGTTATGAGGTGCCAAGCGTATTCCAAACTGATAAATATGTCAAACAATGCCAGTATCAGTTTCGGTCATAGATTCGTTGAGGGATAAAAGTGTTGACACTATTCATTAAAGAATAAAATGAAAAATATAAATAACCTGTTTTCGAGTACCGTAATAAGGATTGCATTACGTTTATGTTATTATTATATTTAATATGAGTACACGACCTCTGACGGAAGGCCTCATCCAAATTTTTCCATTTGTCTCTCATATTCGCTTTTATTTTCCAAGCTTTCCCAACTATCTCTTTTATTTCATCTTCCCAAGTTTTTCCCCTTCTTTCTGGTAGGCGTCCTCTCTTTTAAAAAATTTAAATATACACTATTAAATCTTTGAAAATAAAATGTAATAAATCAGAAGGTGAGTCAGCTTTTTGATTAAGATTTATTTTTGCTACGAAAACAAAGTCACGCGCATTAACTCGTAGTACATATTTGCTGACTTCAAATAGGGAAACTCGAACAATAACGCAACAAGTGATGGATTCACGCTCAAATGGATTTGTTCATTCGCTCGAAAAGATAAGAACAAATATGCTCTAGCACCTGCTCTGTGCTTACTTTATCTCTTAGACTATTTGTAGATATATTTTGGGTATGTTCCGATATACACTGCGAGTACTGTATAGTGCTCCCACTGTTCAAAAATTCGTTCCGCTATGGACGCCAGTATACAGCCGCAGCGTCCTAGGGAAATATATGACGTCACAAATCCCCGCTATACTTCTACTGCGAGCACTGGCGTTTTCGAGGTAAGGTACTCGCAGTGCTTTGATCACGTGATCAATCAAAACCACTTGAATGCCTAACGGCTGATATAACTTACAGTTTAATAACAAACATTTAAAATTCTACTTAAACTTACTTTACTTAAAACTTACTTTCTTTGTAGTATTAATTCAATTGACAGTTAATATTAATATAGATTTTTTTAATGCGATAATACTCCAATAATAGTTTTTCTTGTTGAATTGAAAAACTTTGATGCACTCATTTGAAAACTGTGTCGAAAAACGAAGCTGACTAGTATACTGGACTGCGTTCCGTTTTAAATTGTAACCAGTATAGCTGGCTATAGAGAAACGGTTTCACAGTATACTAAATTGACGGTACTCTGTACAGTGGTCGCAGTGTATATCGGAACATACCCTTTATGAGCTCAATTTATGATTTGCTGAAGGCCAAAACTATTAGACTTCTCGATAAGTCGGAGTAAGCTGTCTCTCACGCTACCGCAGCCTTCGGTTTGCAAAAGCTGGCAGCTTTCAAATAAAAAAGAGTTATTTTTTTAATTCCGATCTGATTGGCAGAACAAGCATTACACAACAATTTTGTTTAGTTTTAATAATAATTAGTTAGAGTAAAATTTACAGTCGAGATTTACAATAGTGTGAGAGCAGGTCTCAATATTGTGACGGATGTTTCTATATATGTGTTTTCTGTATAGCAAGATAACGAATTAAGAACGTGTCAGTTACTTAAGGAGAATAAAGAAGGACATACAAAATAAAATAAAACATACAGAAATGCATGCATAATTACGAAACACTTACACTTGATTTTTTTTGGGTTCGATTAATATTTAAATGCGAATGTATTGTTGCTATGCATAAACAGAATATGCTCAAAACAGTTTAAAATAGACACTCATTAGAATTAAAAAAACTCAAATGTAAAGGGAAATTTTCAACACGAATTTTCTATTTTCCGCTCTTAGGTTTCATTGTAAATGGAGGAATTGTATTTTCATTAATGCAATGTTTTAAACACCGGCTGAGAGTGGAATAACATTTAGAAAGTTGTTTGTGTCTTAAGTTTTTAAATAATTATGCGAGAAAATATTTTATACTGTACTGTACTGACTTTCCATTAGTTTTATAAAACAATATATTATCAAAAAAGTTGGCCTACTGATGTCTACGTGCGACTTCCTTCTCTGAGGTCATAGGTTCGATCCCCGTCTGTGCACCAATGAACTTTCTGTTGCATTGCAACACTTGCTCGCACGGTGTCAAGCACAGAAGGCTGATCCTACTAGTCTATTAAGAAGAATATATCATCAGAAAACAAGATTTTTACTAACATTTTAAAACTCACATTACATACATTCACTAAAAATCTTAAACAACATCTTGTCAACCTATGCTGATACAGAAAATATTCTTACTGTGCAAAAATAGTTTAATTATAAATTGTTATGTTTAGTTGAAATTATTGTCAAGTACAGTTAACATGTCAAAAGGAAGAGACTGGATACTACGAAAGGGATTCCTATTGTGGGGGCTAGTGCACTTGATTTTACCTGTATATACTTTTATAGTGTACTAGCTGACCCGGTAAACGTTTTGCCATGTATATATATTATTTGCCATGTATATTATTTTCTAGGAAACATTTTTTAGTACAATTAAAATAACTATCAATAATAAAAATTAAGGGTTGTATATATTTTTGTATTCTGTATCATAAAAAAATAAAAAATTGGGGTAGACACCCATTATCACTCAGGAGTTTGAAAGAGAGATAGTAGATTCTCTGAATACTGCAAAAAAAAAATCATCAGAATCGGTCGAGCCGTTTCGTAGGAGTATGGGAACGAACATTGTGACACGAGAATTTGATTTATAGTGTATAATAAAGTTTTTTCTTTATTTCTTTCTTTCTAGACACAGAAATATGGGTTACATTTAAAGGAAGGGAAGGAAAGGAAGCATATTAATATAGATTGTGTAATGTGTAATGCTATAATTGTCGCATTGATATTAATTTTAAGTCTTTTTTGCTGTATATCGAACTAAATGTTTAATGTACTAAAATAAATATGTTTATTGTAAATTCGCATTTATTGTTGAATTAAACGTTTATTTACTTGAACAATAAAAAAAAGTACTGAAACATGGAAAATTTTAAATTCGCTCCCAGGAAACGGAAACCATGGGGCATTTATTCTTAAAGCGAAACGATTCCTTAACTTGGCATACAGCTAACATATATCAATATAGAAGCACACAAAATATTTAAAGTTTATTTATTGTCAAAGTAAACAGAGCACATATTATTGTATTTTATTTTATATTTGAGATTTATGTGTTGTCTAAAAAAACTTGGTGATTAAAAAGAGTGGCGGAGAGTTCATTGCCAGTTCTTCTCTTCCGTTATTAGAAGCATTTCATGTATATTTATTTTTTGACGTTCATAAGTGTACATTTTGTTAACTATAAAATGATTTTTGAATAAGAATTTAAATTTATTTATTTTACAGATAATGTGGATTAAAGATATACTGAGTTTATATAAGGGGCAGGACCACCAGGCAGTTCACTTAAACTTAAAGCCGCCGCCCATGTTTCCCTGCAACACCAGGAGATTTAAGTGCGTCGCCGGTCTTTAAGTGAAGTTTCACTACCAATCAAACTCACAGTGTAGACATTGTTTCTAGCAAATTATCTCCAATTTGATTATAGGTTTTCCTACTATGCACGACAAGCTTCGTGCCAAAACTGAAACGTCATATGTGTACTTTGTCAAGAGGTGTTAAGGTACGTTGAGATAGGAAACAATAACAATACATCATAAGTGTTTCTTAGTATTGAACAGTCCATAAAAGCTATGTTTTTGCTCGGGCCGTGCTGAATTCAGGGTTACCAGCTAATTGGCAGCACATTGGCACTGCGCGGCAATTGCATGGAAATTCACAAGAGTTATTGGCCAGTTTATTAGTTATCGGGAGATTTATTTTGACTGGTAACATTGACGCGAACTAATAATGTTGCCAGTGTTTCATGATTTTTAGTAGACCGCTGTATGCTGGGCAATGTAAGCCTGTCGTACCAATAAACTTAACCAAATAATAAAACTTTAAAATTATGTTTTTAATTCAATTGGATGTAAGTTTTTGTTCAATTTCATATGCAATTGTTTGCTCGCTTGATGGCGAGACATTTATCCATCCCTCTCTATATTGAACTTTTATATGCTTGTATTTTTATACACCAAGACACATTGATATGTTTCTTTTCTTCTCCGCCTAAAGCAAATTTGCCAGAAAGACGAATAACTGCTCAATAAAAAAAGAAGAAAAAAACGTGTGTGTACTTATGTACACGCGTTAAAAGTTTACTTCTTTGGCGTAACAAGATAAAAATCTTTTCAAAACTTTTATTCTAGAAAAATCGACACT